TCAAAACCTGCAGTTTCTTGATCCTCATCATATAAAAATGATTGGACCTGAAGTTCTATCAAACAAAAAGATCGGGCATAAAGTCCCTTGATCCTCAAGATTAGGACATAAAGTTCCTTGATAAGTATCTTAAGTTTGAAGTGCCACAGTGCCTCAACTTAATTGCAATAAAAGCCATAAGAGTCTCGGTCTGTAAGACTATTAAATAAGGACCAGAAGTTCCTTATGTCCATACTCAAAAATGGTTTAGCAGAAGCATTTATTAAGCGGATGAAATAGATTACCCGCGCTCTGCTCACGAAAATAAAATTGCCCGTTTTTACATGGGTACATGTCATTTTACATGATGCATTATTGATTTGGTTGAGACCTGTTGACAACCATCAATACTTCTCAGTACAACTCGTGTTTGGGAACCAGCCAAACATTATATATTTACGAGTTTTTGGTTGTGTTATCTATATGCCTATTGCACTGCCACAACATACTGAAATGAAGCATCATTGCGGATTAGGCATTGATGTTAAACATCATCTATCATTCAATATTTAAAACCCTTGATTGGGGATACATTTACCGCGTGGTTTGCGGACTGTCATTTTGATAAGACAAGTTTTCCTGCCGTTAGGGGGAGAAAATAACTTTGTTTCAGAAGAACGATGAGCAAATATCATTCCAGAAGAATGATGAGAAAAAACCGTTCCAGAAGAACGAAGAGAATTTGTCGTATTTTGATTCATGAAGCAATCAATATACAAAACAAAGTGAGAATAATTGAATGATGCAACGATATGCAAATCAAATGCCAGATGCATTTAATGATGCAACGAAAGTGATAAAATCACATATGCTTGCTGCAAATGTGCCTACAAGAATTAATGTCCCTATTGGACAAAATAATATGGCAGCAAATGATTTACCTGTTACACGCCTGAAGCGTGGCAGATCCTCAGACTCAAAAGGTTCAATCCTTCGAAAGAAGAAGAATATGGCACTACTGAACTATTGCATAACTGTCACATGCCAGACGCATAACAGTTGTTGCAAGGATACTTGTCCCGAAAAGGTCACTCCGTGGACATGGGAATATTGATGTCTCATGCATGAAGCATGACAGACGTATAAGTTCCAATGACTTAACTCCCGAAGTGGAGATTAAAATCCAAGCTCTATAACGCTCAAGAGGAGGTTATGATCCGTATTCTCTAAACTATAACTATCCTGGAAGAGATAGTGTAATGCCCTTGAAGAGGCAATGGATATCCCAAAAGAAATGAAAAGCTTTTATGCATGCGCATGTACATGAGAATATGGGATCACAGATTGATGATAACCAATGGTAATTTTGGTTTTTACAAGTAGCTACTAAATTCATCAATGAGCTGTGGTGATATTGAGTCCCGTTCTTTTTCCATCAACGAAATTATGGACCAAAATGGAAATAGGCAATTCCATTACAATTTTGTAAGAACGTGGAAAAATAGACTTATATACTTGGATACAATACAAATAGCCAAAAGATGTTGAACCTAGAAGGTTACATATGGGCATTTGTAATACTGTGAAATACACTCACATAATATGACACAAGGTTGTAAAGGAGTTCATATGAATGGAGAATTATATACAAAGGGTTATGAGTCGCCCACATCATATCTCCATGAGTAAATCCCTCAAATATACATGGAAGCGAATTGCTCTGTATAAATTCTAAAGGAAAATGTGTCATGAAGTGTAGAAAATCCCTGAAGGATTTAAATTGCTTGAAGTAAGCCCCGGAAAGGTAAAGCATAAAATATGTACTCAATACCAATGGATGGTATAAATTGCCTTAGTGAGTATTTTCATTATGGTATTGTTGCAACATACTAAAATCTCTTGTAAGAGTTGATGATATTAAATTGGGACTCCTGAAGAGTCAAGAAAGATTATAAAGTGTTGAGAGAAATATTGTCTCGAACTGCAGAATCGAACAATATGCCAACACGAATCTTATCCATGATGTTTATGACATTAAAGAATCATATGGATTGAAGATTATGAGTTGAATACTCAAATGATTTAGACACTAAGAATAATCATTTATCTTCGCAAGAGTAAAGATAAATTGATATTTGGTCCAGAAGTACCACATCTTAGTGAAATATATGCTTTATTGTATTTAACACAATACACTGAATGAAATAAAGCTTATATATTAATATCTCCGAGAAATTACATACACATGAGTTAAAACAAACAAACAGAAGGGAACCTTCACAAAGGTTACTCATGTGAAGCCTCAGTACTCGGAAGTACCCCAGAAGGGGAAGACACCAGAAGTTGATTATTTGGAGTCTCAACACCTGGTGGAACTCCAGACAGCTATGACAATGGATGTCTTTGGAATAAAGACTCGAACCCCCGATTGTCATTTTGAGTCCGACCTTCGGATTCTAGTAGCTGGTCGAGCTTTCTTTTCATGCTCGTAGAGTAATTATTTGAAAGCATGTGTAAAACTCTATTCTCATGCTTGAGCCCTCTAATCTCTTGTTTAAGACTTGCAACCTCAGCCATTAATGATTCAACTTGGTGAGTTCGAGCAAGTAGACGCTGGCCCATATTGGATACAGAGCCCGCACATTGAACACTGAGAGCCAATGAGTCTTGAACGGCCGCCTCATCAGACCGGTTTGAAAGGATTCTATTGTCCTTTGGAGTGAGAAGATTCCTGGCTACCACTGTAGCAGTTATGTTATTCTGCATCACAGAGTCCCCAACCGTAAGAGGACCATTAGAAGTTGAGAAGGACGGGCGCCATATGTTATCCTGACGCTGCTCGTCTGTATCAATCCTGAGACTCAAATCTAAACAAATGTTAGATGGGCAAGCCATTTCCAGAAATGATGAAGGAAGTTAGATAAAATCTCAGAAGTGCAAGAAAGGGAAATTTCTGCAGGCAACAACTTTCTGAGTGTTTCTCAACAAAATTGATCTCTCTATAATAGAAGGGGCAACAGGACCACTTATTCAAAAATCGAAGAGACACCGATTTTCGAATTTCAAAAGCTGGATTTCCCTGCATGACGTCTGTCAACATCTCTCAGACGCAATCTCAGCTCTTGGATATCACGTGCAACTTTGTCAAAGATTTCTGATAAAGTTGAAAACGCGTGAATCTTACTGTTCTAATTACACCACAGTTGCTGACAAGAGTAAAGGCACAGCTTTACTACCTGCTATTGGAAAATCAATATATATGTCAACCTCTGTCCTCCATGGCAAGGCAGAACTGAAAAATATCTAACTATTCCTCATCTCCGAGAATGCATCTTTCACAAAGTATGTCGAAATACTTAGTTTTCTTCCTCTCTGAGAATACCTCTACAAACAAGTCACACCAGAGCAAGAGTATCTCATATCATCAGGGACGAGAGCAAGAGTATCTCATATCATGCAATCTCCCTGTCCTTTCCTTTGTCCTTGTTCTTACCTGCCAAGACAAGGATAAAGAAAGCAATATGTCGGAACCTCCACTCAAACTTGCGCTGCCACCAAGAAGTGATGGTCCATTCAAATACAAGGTTTGCATTCCACTCTTGTATCAGATGACAAATACTACAAGAGAAGATGCCAAACCTGCATAAGGAAAATACCACTTCTGCAAGGGGAGCAACTAAGGCAAGTGAAAATGATACATTGAAGCATGTGGAGACAAGCACAACAAACACATTTCAGTTCATCCCCGACAAAGTCTAAGATCATTTGTCACATGAAGCTCCTCATGATCCAATTTCATTCAAGATCAAGCCTAGACGGCCTTTGAAGAAATCACAAGTCCGATTCAAGATCAAGTGTCCACCACCCTTGAATCAAATTCAGCTCCAGATAAAATAAGTAAATTCAGACCTTTGGAGGAAGTCTAGCAGAAAGGCCCTCCAACCCAGTTCAAGAACAAGTCTGTGGAAAGTTAACAACAAGTGAAACACCTCATTCGGCAACTATCACTGCTAAAAGACTAAAGCAGCAGGATCAATGATCAGCTTAAATAATTTGAAATCAGGGGGAGATACTCATCAAGGGGGAGCATCCAAAATAGATCAAGATCTTAACGAGGCAACTCATGTTGATATGTGGGCATCCAAGGGGGAGTGTTGAAAATACTAGTGGGTAATGAATGCCCACAGTATTGAATACCTGCCACAACATTGAAAACGTTGCCAAAGGGTTGAAAACCTTGGCAAAATATTGATACGTGGAGATCATTTGTCAAAGATGTGTGCTTGGAGTTGCTCTATAAATAGAGCACTCCGTATGCTTCGAAGAGAGAGCAGAAAAAGAAAGAGAGGAAGAGGAGAAAAGTGAATACATAGAGTTATTTTTGTACTCCTATTATTCCAAATTATAATGAAAGCATCACTGCTGCCCGAGGACGTACTCCAGTCAAACTGACTGTAGAGGAACCTCGTAAATTTTGTGTCTTGTTTTATTTATTCCACTGTACACACATAGTCAATTTTACAACAATTTCCCACTTGTTTGAATAATTTTTAAGCAAACACTGTTTCATTTAAATTACAAAATGTATGTTTTTCTAATATATTCTAAAACTATGACATTTTAATTATGTTGTTCATCCATCTTACAACATAAAATAATAATATTATCTGGCAGTATTATCCATTAAAAAAAAAAAAAAAAGGTCTCCCCTTGATGGTTATCACCTAAAAGTGTTATGTTATCCACTAAAAAAAAAAAGTCACCGGTTGATGGTCAAACCATATATTTTCTTTAGCCTTGAATTCAATCCATAGTGATATCCTACGCGCATAGCCGCCTTACCTTACTGATTGGATTTATGTGTGAAGAAAACTCAAAGCCATCGCAATCCCACCAAATGTTCCACGACACGCCTTTATTCATTGCAAAGTCAACCATGCAAACCCCCCATTCAAGAACCCTACCCGCCTCGCGTGCACCCCCCAATTGTCTGTGTATATAAGTCTCTGCTTCGTGACGGCCTTGTATCACAATACATATCTAAAGAACAAAGTGCTTCTTCAAGAACAAAGTGCTTTCAATAATCTGCAACAAGACAAGGAGCTAAAAGCAAAAGCAAGAGATCGTCTAGCAAGTTAAGGCAAAAAATGGAAGGTTTGATTCCATTTCTTATTCATGCAATCAAGAAGCAAAGTCCTCAGCACAGGATGATCAGATCGTTTTCTGCTTCTGAGAGCAACTCCAACCGTAGCTACCATCCTCTGCTGACCGGCCAGGATTCAGTGGAGGGCTCGTCTCACCGCAGGACAAGGTCGGAGTTCCAGCCTCCCACCTTCATTAAGGAAGAAGCGGGTGTTTCCGCTGCTGCTCCTTCGGTGTTCATTGGATCGAAGATGGGTTCCTATCCTTACCAAGGCTCTAATGTAGGCATGACTAGAAGGAAGTGATAGATATGTTCATCCCAAATATTTCATTGATTTTTTTGTCTTTTGGGGGTGGGTTGTGTTTTAAAGCAGGAACAAAGTGTTCAAAGGTGGAGCTTCTATCAGACTAGCAATTCATTTACATGTAAAAGTTCAATATGTTAATAAAAATAACATATATATAATTGTATGTAGATAATATTGTCGAAACTGAAATTTGAAAGTAATTAAGCAGTGTTCAGTGTAAGTTAATTCTGATTTGGATCGCCTCTTTTGTGACTAACAACTTGTACAGTTATGGAAGAGTCGTGATTTAATAATAACGATTAAAAACTATGTTCACCATAAGGATTTTGGGTTCCCTTTGTTGACTTTGTATTTTTAGCTAGAATTCCTAATTGATATCAATTCCGTGTAATCTCCTATAATCTCATGTAATTAGTTTTCTTCCTATTACATTAGGGTTGTACACCCTGTATAAATACCTCTCATTGAGAATAATAAAATTATTATTCAAAGCACCCTCTTTTTGGTATCAGAGCTAATCCCTGGCCGGAAGTATGCCGACGAGGACATCGGAACTTCGAAATTAATACCTAAATCCTTAAATCACGACTCTTCCATAACTGTACAACCCGGCCTAGCTTTGGTAAAGCTCTTAGAATCTGATTTTGACAAACTCTGCTAGTCCAAAAATGTGAGTTTGGTCACTAGTTAATACCTTACAATATGGTATTAATGGTGTAATAACAGGATATTAACGATGTAATAACAGTGTATTAACAGTGCAATAGTAAGGTATTAAGTTTTTTTATAAAGTTTTAGTGGAATTGGTTTTTTTAGTTATAATATGTGAAGGATTTTTGGTGAATGTCCCTTCTCTAAATCCTTATTTAAAATACAAGCCATATTACTATTTAAGTTACATTAGGGGAAGAAGGAGAGTTTAAACCTGGATACAACGAAGTTGAAGAGGAAGACCTAATAAGAGAAGTTCTTGAGTAAGAAAACGGGATTGAGGTTGATGTGAAAGAGAGAATAAGAGGATTAATATGACGAATTAGGGTGAGTGTCATGATGATGTTTTTTTCTTGAGATTTTATCACAAATGGTTCCTAAAATTGATCCTCACCATCAATATGGTCTCTGAAATTGAAAATCAATCAATGTACCCCCTGAAAATAGGTGTCGCAAATCAATGTGGTTTTTCTGTCACAATTCTATTAAAAATTTCATTAAGTACTGATGTGGCATATAAATGGGTCCCATAAGTCTTTTTTTTTTTTCCTCACAAATGGTCCTTGAAATTGGCACGCGACATCAAAATGGTTTTTGAAATTGACCTACAACATCAAAATGGTTTCTAAAATTGAAAATCAATCAATGTAGTCTCGCAAGTAAGTGTCCCAAATCAATGTAGTCATTCCGTCACAATTCTGTCAGATATTCTGTTATGTGTTAATATGACACACAAATGGATCAAACAAGTCTAATTAAATTTAAAAAAATTACAAATAGTTTTAGTAATTTAATGATTAATAAAAAGTTGTGAACCCAATAACCCAATCCTTCAATCACTTCCGATCCAGTCCACATTACCTCATTATCTATCTATTCTTTGAAAAAAAAAATTCTCAATATAGCCATCATTACACACTTTGACACATTTCATCGAATTCAACCTGGATCGAGATCACCTTTGATGACGACTTGGCTGATTGGTAACGACTTCTGGGACATTACCGTTAACATTTAAGCAATCAACATCCTGACAACCTTAATCTTGTAGAGCTTGTTCGGCGTTTCTCTGGTGGTCTGATGACTTAAAGAACGACGAGGTCTGCCTTGAGATAATGAGGTTATAACCAAGGTGCGTCTATTATTGTTTGAAAACTATCTCCAAACCTCCTCTTAGGCCTTGGTTAAGCATTGTGCCTTTGAGAATTTATGAAAGGGATATCTCTTCGGAATAAGTCTTACTATAAGAAAAAAAATTCTATTGTGCAAAAAGGTATTTAGATAACTTTTCAATTAATTCTATTGTTGCGGATCATATTGATTTGCGACACCTATTGTCAAATACTACATTCATCAATTTTTCATTTTAGTAACCATCTTGATGGTGTGGGTCAATTTTAGGGATCATCTTGATGGTGTGAGTCAATTTCAGGGATCATTTGTGATAAAACCCCGTAAATCTTGTGGGACCGATTTATGTGACACATCAGCATTTAACGGAGTTTTGAACAATTGTGACGGAAGAACCACATTGATTTGCTATAACTATTTTCAAATACTACATTGATTAATTTTTAATTTTAAGAACCATCTTAATGGTGAAGGTAAATTTCAAACACTATTTATAATCAAAATCCTTTTTTCTTTGTGCCGTATGAAATGAGTCATTCGATTTCCGGACCTTAGAATTTCTCCTGGAAGTACAGGTAAATCTTTTTTTATTTTCTGATTGGGCCATAAACTTTCACACAAGGGGCAACCTGACGTCGTTTTAATTTTTTTTTTTTCAGACGCTCTTCCACGGTTTCCTTCCCCGACGGATGATTTCCCAACAGAGCCATAAGCCACACTCCGATTCCGTTGCCGCAACACCCAAACCAGCATTCAAAACTATGCAAAGCGCGCGAAATACGACGGCGTTTCGATCAATCTTCGACGCCGGAGAGCTGAAATCGGAATTGGAAAATTCCGGGGTCAAGCCCAGCTTGATCCCCTACATATGGAAGCGGGTGATCCAAAACCCCGATGCCCAATTCGACCAAATTCCATCTTTGCCCTCGGCAGCGTACCCTCTCCTGACCTCCAAATTCAAAACCCTAACCTCCTCCGTCCACAAGGTCATGGAGTCCTCAGACCAACTCACCACCAAGCTCCTCATAAAACTCCAGGTTTGCCCAATTTCTTACGCTCCACACAAACTGTTTGATAAAGTGCCGCTGTGAAAAAAATTCTCACATTATTTTATTTTTGTTAGAATGGGGCTCTTGTGGAGGCTGTGATTATGCGATATGACAGCCGCTTGGGAAAGTATGACGGCAAGCCCCGCCTTGGTGGTCCTAGGTCCACCTTGTGTGTATCATCTCAGGTATCAAAGTTTTGAAATTTTTTGTTTTCGTGTCGAAATTTCTGGTACTGAATGTTTATGTTGATGTGTATAGGTTGGTTGCAAAATGGGTTGTACTTTCTGTGCTACCGGGAGTATGGGGTTTAAGAGCAATCTGACATCGGGGGAGATTGTGGAGCAATTGGTTCATGCTTCTCGCATTTCGCCTATACGCAATATTGTGTTCATGGTAATTGTTTTTTCTTTACTTCATTTGTGATTGTTATTGAATGATATAGATATGGAGGAAATATGGGAACCGTTGAATGTTGAACTCTTTGATTTTGTGTATTCTGTCAGGGAATGGGAGAACCGTTGAATAACTATGGTTCCTTAGTGGAAGCGATTCATGTCATGACTGGATCACCATTTCACTTGTCGCCAAAGAAAATTACTGTGTCGACGGTAGGCGTCGAAAACTACCATTTTGTCTAAGATCTTTTATCTGCCAAAACATTCAGATATGGTGGATCTTATTAACTTTCTCATGCTATTCTATTTGATTATATAATCGAAGTTTAGTAGTTTTTAGATTTGGTGGATCTTTGTGAATTGGGTAGTACGTAATACTCTTTTGCTTCTTTCGTTGAGTGGGGGTCAATCATAGTTGCATTAGTAATGATGTAGTTCGCAATTGCTACAAGCATTTGGCTTACTGGTCTATCAGTTGTTCATCTAATCTTCTGTAGGTCGGCATTATTCATGCTATCAAAAAGCTTCATAGTGATCTTCCAGGTCTGAACTTAGCAGTTTCACTTCATGCTCCAGTCCAAGAAATTCGTTGTCAGATAATGCCTGCGGCTCGGGCTTTTCCTTTAGTAAAGCTTATGGATACACTGCAAGAATATCAAAAGAGCACGTAAAGTTTTGTTACACCTCATGCGTTTAGTAAATTCTTTAGCCTTCATTTCTTTACAATGAAACTCATTCAGTTGTTTTACACTCCTAGAGAATCTCACTATTGCCCTTCAATCTGATTCTTTAGTCAGCAGAAAATCTTCATTGAGTACATAATGCTTGATGGAGTGAATGATGAAGAGCAACATGCACACCAACTCGGAAAATTGCTAGAGACATTTCAAGTGGTGAGTTCTAATCTATGAACCTGCAGCATATGAGGAACTTCAGTCTCTTTTGTGTGTCTGCGTATCATATATATATATATCTCCAAAATAATCTTTGCATTTGCTGTTTGCGGTCCTACAGGTCATTAATTTAATACCTTTTAATCCAATTGGTATTCTGAGTAAATTCACAACCAGTAATGAAAACAAAGTAACGAACTTCCAGAAAATTCTACGAGGCACATACGGCGTTCGAACAACAGTTCGCAAGGAAATGGGTCGAGATATAAGTGGAGCATGTGGTCAGTTGGTGGTGAACTTACCGAACAAGAGGTCAACTGAGAACACTCTAACTGATATAGAAGATATTCAGGTCAGATAGATCTCTTCTTGCTTCCGTAGGTGTTAATGCCCGAAAGTCCGTTAATGCCGGTCCAAGTAGCCAAACGGTCTGCAGACCATAATTAATTTTTCTGTAATTTTGATACACCTAAAACTGTTTATTATCCGTTTTCTTTTTCCCCTTCAAGCTCCCCAAAAGTGTGAGTTTTGGGTTCTTGTAAGTATTGGCATTAACTTGAGAATACAAAATTAGGTCTCATGTTACTACATTCCGTTATTTGGTCAGAAAAATCGTGAACGATTTTCTGACCAACGTGACGAAATGGGTTTAACTTGAGACACGAAATGAAAGAACGAAGGTAGCAAAGTTACACAGTTGCAAGTTAAGGGTAAAATTAGATTTGGATCAAGCTCAAGGGGCACATGAACTAAAGGAAAATTATCACATCCAATATTTCTTCACATGCACACTCATCTTAATTTTTGGCCCTTTGATTAAACAAGAGCACGTAACGTGCATAAATCATTTTCCAAACAAAAACAAAAAGCCTTTTATTTCTGCTAACATCTTGATGGTGTCATACACACGTGACCACCCTTGCAAGATGATCATATTCTCCCTTAACTAACACGTGAGGAGCACCTTGACTACTTCAGAATCTTACCCTAATTTTCAACCACTGCAACAACATTGGTCGCATACTCTCACCTGCACCTTCATGTACCAGACCATTTCAGAATTTTCAATTTAATTGAACAAAGGGGAAGAAAACAGCTTTTATACCAAGCCAAACAGAGCATTGCCTCAAACAGAAGGAAAAATGCAAGCAGCAGCAAATCCTAGAAAACTTCTGTTTGCCCTCTTGCTCACCGTGCTCATTTCTTCTCGACTGGTTCAGTCCAGCAACTTAGCTACCTCTCCATCACCGTCTCCATCACCTTCGCCGGTGAGTACTTCATCCGACACTCTTTTCTAATTAAATTATGAACTCTAATTTTCTGTTTTTATCATCTCGTTTTCTGAATTCTGTGTTAGGCTGTCGGGATGCCAACACCGAATGACCACGGGGTGTCTAAAGGGAAAGGGATTGTTAAAAAGGAAACGAGAGGGTCGTATCCGGCTACTTGTCATTCAAAATGTAACGAGTGCGAGCCTTGCATGCCCGTTCAAGTATCTATCCGAGCAATGGTATTGGAAGAGAACGAGTACCGTCCACAGGTGTGGAGATGTGCCTGTGGTGACAGTATATTTTCCCCTTAAGCTGGCTAGAATTAACTCTACTGCTGCATGTAAATTAGGGCTAGCTATAAGAGGTCTTCTCTAGATTAGTACAAGTTAATGTTTACGCACACCTAATTATGTGCAGAACAATTCTTAAACATGACAGGCAATGCCACGTTTTTCTTGCAGCGTGAGGAACGTGTCGCATGTAAGAACTTTTCACTATGAATGCATGTATAAATAGCATATAAAATAGGTTTATTTGTGCAATTCAAAATGTACGCTATGCCACCATGGTTCTCCAGTTATTTGTGTACTGGGACTGAGAATTAAATACCCCAAGAGTTACTGAATGTGTTGAAAGCTCAAGTGAGCGAGCGAGAGCCTAGATCAAAGGTTACAAATCAGGCATGCCTGAGTTGGAGGCTAACTGACTACGTTGTCCACTTCTTTTCATCTCTTAAACCTACAATGGAGCTTAGTTTCTGCTGTGGGTGTCCGTGTTAATCGAACACCTCATTTGGTCCTTGACCCTTGAATTTTCAATCATCACACAAAGAACTTCACTTTGTGTGATATGACTTACAAAAGTTGACAGCATATGACCAATTTTTGAAGGGCATTTCGGTTAAAGAAGTGGACACCTTGAGGTTTTGAGGTTACCCTACTCAAGTCTCTCAAACGGGAACTAAATCATTGCAAACGTAGGGGCACAGATAGGAAGCTTCGGAAGATAAGGAAAGAGGGAGGGTAGAGAACCAAATCGATGCAAAGAAGAAGATCAAACCGCTTAACTAAAAAGATAATGAAGTCTACTGCTACTTTGGGAATCTTACTAACAAGAAGATTTTATTGAACATATATATTCAATTATCTAAAATGGTTTAATCTGTAAAAACAAATAGCTCACTTGGTTCTAGTAACAACTAATGCACAGATAACTTATTCGACATAATCGATACAGAATCAACATCCAAGGTAGGCCGGGCTCCTCATTTTACATGTAACTAAGAACAATAACAATTTAAGGACGATAACAAAAACGAAAACCAATGCAATGGAATCACCTGCATTATCACTGCTTGACATTCTCCAAGTACCAGCTATAAGTATCAACAAGCCCGTCTTTCAGCGAGATCTTCGGTGTCCATCCCAAGCCTGCGAGCTTCGAGCTATCCATGAGCTTCCTCGGAGTTCCATCCGGCTTAGTAGAGTCCCAGACAAGCCGTCCCTCGAACCCAACAACCTCCTTGACAAGTTCAGCCAACTCCTTGATAGTCACTTCCTTGCCACTCCCCACATTGACATGCTCCAACCCACTGTAACTCTCCATCATGAACACCACCCCATCCGCCAAATCATCGACATGCAAAAACTCCCTCAAGGGGCTTCCGGTCCCCCACACCACCACCTCCTCTGCACGCTTCACCTTTGCCTCATGAAACCGCCTCATCAGTGCCGGCAAAACGTGCGAATTTTCGGGGTGAAAGTTATCATGCGGCCCGTACAAATTGGTGGGCATCCCAGAAATTGCATCCCAATTGTACTGAATCCGATACGCCTGGCACATCTTGATCCCGGCGATCTTGGCAATGGCGTACCACTCGTTCGTGGGCTCGAGCGGGCCCGTCAGCAATGCGTTCTCCGGGATGGGCTGAGGAGCGAATTTGGGGTAAATGCAGGAGGAGCCGAGGAACAAGAGCTTCTTGACTCCGAATCGGTAGGCGGCATCGATGACGTTGGTCTGGATCTGGAGATTGACGGCGATGAAATCCGCCGGGTAGGTGTTGTTGGCGTGAATGCCGCCGACTTTAGCGGCAGCGAGGATCACGAATCGGGGTTTCTCGGCGGCGAAGAAGGACTCGACGTCGGCTTGGCGGGTGAGGTCGAGCTCGGCGTGGGTGCGGAGGACAAGGTTGGTGAAGCCTAGGGCTTGGAGCTTGCGGACGATGGCGGAGCCGACGAGGCCGCGGTGGCCGGCTACGAAGATCCTGGCCGATTTGTCGGAGAGGAAGGAAGGCGAAGTGGCATCTGTAGAGAGAGGGAGAAAGATTACAATTGAGAGTATGGGGATCTGAAAGATTTAATTGTGTCATGTTTGTTTGCTTGCTGAGAAAGTTGTATGAGGTTAGATTTTCTCAGATACCAAACAGATTGGAGAGAGGGAGAGAGGGAGAGAGAGAGAGTACCGTTATTGGCGCCACTCATGTTGTATTTGCTTCAGCAGTGCAGGAAAATCTGGGAAGAGACTAGTAAACGGGTGAGCACTGGGATTGCTTTGTCCTTGCGAAAATGGGCAAACCAACCCAACTTAAGTCCTTTCACGCAGAATGGATTGTGCGGTTTCCGCGAGTTGATTTAATTGATTTCTTTTTTATTTTTAGGTGCAGTGTTATTAGTTAGGATAGATAATATCGTTTGTTAAATAAAAATGAAAATTATTATAACTCTGAGTTAGTTTCAATTGAGTTAAATAATACTTCAACCTAACCTAACTCACTTATTAAACAAATGATCAAGTTTTAACTCATAAATAAATTGTTAATGTTTATAAACCAACCCAATCCAATTCATATCGAGTGGGTTGGTTTGATAGACCCACTAAAAATGCCACCCCTAACAAATCTAGTCATGGATCCATAACCATCACTGAATCAAGCTAGATCTGCAACAGTCATGGGCCTTGGAGGGTGCCTCCAACTCGAATTTAATATAAGGAAGGCGGCTCAGCCACTACAACATTTAGGGAGGGAGGGGGCACGGTCACCGTGAAAATAATTGGTAGAAGGCGATTTCGACCCACCACAATCACAAGCCTGACTCAAACCCATCAATCTATCCCAAAGAGGGCGCATATAAATGGGTTTGAGAATGGCATTCCATTAGAGCATGGAAGGTTGCTCACAAAATAATGGTTGGATAGATGGGGAAGATGTAGGTGCGGGTAAATGGTGAAGAGAATGAGTAGAGGGACAAGGAAGGAAGGAGGGTTGTAGCCGACTCCAAACCATTGCAAGGGGCAAACTTAGAAAATAAGTCATGATGTGATTTGTGGTTAATCTCATAGTAAATGATGCTAGTACTCCTCTCGCATGTAGAACTCATTATTTGACAAACCACATAAATAGTTCACGAGAGAGGAGACACCAGCATCAATTACTATGTGATGAATCGCATCAGGTATTATTTAGGCTGTCAACATTAGCCCTTTTGGTGGATCGTGATGGTCACTTTAAGTGCAACCCTTTATTGGAGGACGATTGTGGAGCAATTGGTTTATATGACATGTTCTCATGCAATGTTGCTTTCTGTTTTCGTCAAAGCATGCAATTTTTCATGCATCAATTATATTTATTTAATTAGATGCAAAATAGAAATCATACATTACAAATTTTTTTTTTTTTTTTTAATGAGAAGCAACTAAATATTGTTTACCATAACGATAGGCACCTCCCACACAGGTCGGATTTTATGGGCCATCTCCCCTGGGTGGCGGTTTTTGTTGACGGCACGGTTGTAAATTTTTATGACAATACACGGATACAAAATACGTTAACATAGCTGAACTACTGAGTTAATGGACTGCAACCCACGAAAACAACTTACATGGCGTCTTATGTCAATCAAACGAGAACATATGGACAAAAACTTAGTTTATTTCATTGGCAAGTGACGCATTTGACTTTGTTTATATAAACGTGCGTAGTATGGTACTAACACTAAAAACCCTAGCTACGTCGGCCGGTGCCGATAGTTTGATTGACAAGACAATGGCCAATGAGGATGAACATCGCATTCGGACCACCAAAAGCAAAAGGATCAACAGGATGGAAGCAAGTGTATCAACAGAAGGAAACCTCAAATGGCAAACTCATCGCCATCAGTTATGCAAATGTTTAGGCAGCTGACATTCTCTCGGCAGGAAGCAATTTCAACCTGCTGCGGCCAAAAGGCAGAGAGATCCCGCTAGATCTACACACATGTTCGTGGTAAAATAAAACTACTCGTATGATGGGAATGTTTTAAAAAGTTTTCGATACTTATATCAGCAATCAGGTTTACAAAAAAGCAAGCGAATATCTTAATTACGTTAAACATGCAAAAGAGACGCTTAAAGACACAATAGACAGTGTTCTGCAGAAAAAATACCTATTGCCATCAGCATGCAGATCCGATCCTACGAAGCCAAAAGTGCTTCCACCTTTGCAATTTGATCCTCTTCATTTTTCGGCGTTGGACTCCTATTAGCCTCGTTATACAAATCATGCGTCCATTTCTCAGCACGACCCATACTAGAATTATACCCTTGTCTCCCACTGAATCTATCTCTTCCTCTGTTGTTCCGGGCAGCACCACCAGTGTACCTCTCTCTCGAAGGAAAGACACCCGGTGGTGCATCTCTTCGGTAAGACCCCCTCTCTCCTGCAAATTGCTTCTCAGATCTATCCGTGTGGCGTGGGTTGTGCCCTCTTTCCTCCTTTTTTCTGCTTCCTTCCATGGAAGGGTCAGGATGGCTTGACTTTGCAGTCTCTGCTGCTGTCTTGTCAGCATTATCAGACTCGACAGGAATCTTCTTCTCCCTGAATGCAGGTCTTTTCCTTGCTGATGGTGGATCAGCCTCCATTTCAAAGAACCCATCATGGCGCCAGTTCCTGTTTTCACCCCCCTTAGCTTTCTCATTTCTTGACCGTGAATCATTAGTTGTTGTCTTGCTCACTGTCCTATCATCATGCCTATCCTTTGGATCCCTCCACGATCCACGCTCTAAAGCAGAACAGGAAAAGTAAATTACATTGTACCCACAGTAAATGGTATTCAAGTATTACATGCCATATAGATTATGTGAAAAAATGACAGGCACGCAAAAGGCTTTTATCCTTTGCTTTTTTAGTGAGATGTTTAATTTATAGTGCATAAAAAGAACAGTGATTAATAATCAAATGATGAATTATGACAAGGAACCTCACCAGCAGTTGAACCACGACCAGAGCTTCGAACAACTTTCCCAGCATTACCACGCTCATCGTGCTGCTACAAGACAATAGACATGCACAGGCAAGCCTAATATTGTTATATACAAGGACCACTTGAAGGAATGCGGCAGATCAAGAATCCCGCTACATCAGCCCAGTAAAAAGGTTTGCATACACTGAATAGCAAAAACATAAGTAAACTCAACAGAGTAGGTTCTTAGCTGAGCAATTTCAAATCAAAGTGGAAATAAGACTTAAGCATGTTTGAACTCATTCCAATGCACAATAATAAGAATAGGAGAAAGTGTTTCATTTCAAACTTTAATCACTTGCATGTACGGATGCATAACAATTAGCTTCGACTTTAAATCCAATACTGTATTTCGTCATAACAAGGGAACAAAACATGATTAAATCACCACATTTTCTTGTGCACTGCTGTCTATTTATCTAATAAGAAATATCTTGCTTTTGATGTAGAAGTTAACCCTTAATACCATACCATAAATTCAAGAGTAATTACTATGTACTGCTACAACCTGCTGACGTGTAAAACCATCGACAAATGGAAGTGAACAATGTACAAGTCTGCTAATATTGTTCTATACTGACGAACAATATGCATTGAACAATGGAAGTTTGTGGATGAGACCATATGGCAGTTCCTACAGAATACACACTATGTAATACACATTAACTACAGAAGACATGCAGTGTCATAGGCTCAGAGGTTAGACACAGCCCAGAAAATCATTAACACCAATTGCACGTTAGTAACTAAATTATCACCAGGCTAAAATATATTCGGCAGTGGTATTTTACAAGAAAATCCACATTATCACTAAGCTAAATTGAGTGCAAGAGATTAGTTCATCATCATGTATGAAATGAATAACAAGTTGATGATATTCATAAATCTATACACTACCTGAAAATAAGATTGAGACCGGGGTATTTCAGATGGATTAGTGGAGTGCTTGGTTCCTTCATGATGTCCACTGGGGTTCTTATCGGATTCTTTTCTGGAATCCCCATTTTCCACCTTTGAGTCGGGTGCTAATGTAGATTCAAGTGGCAATGTATCTTGCAGCCTCGGGCGGTGCTTCTGATCCTGGTCACTCTGCTTCGCACTTTCTAAATTACCTTTGCTGGCGATTCTGTCTTTTTCATCTTTCTCACCCCTCCGGGACCTCTTGGGACTGAGGCAACCAGTGACAATCATTAACTGTAGGATTCTACTTAAAAACAAACTATTTCTATAAGATTATAACCATGTTGCAAACATATACTGGAGACGATTAACTTCAAAATTACCTTTCAAAACGTAAATTAAGCTACTTAGGCAATGACATTCGACATAAAGATAGAATCTTTCAATCAAATGCTCACAAAAATGAAACATTAGTCCTAAATTAACATTTTTTTTTAACAAAGCACACAATCTACCTGCTTGAATTAACATTTTGTTTCAATTAAATATTAAATACCACGAGAAATCGCTATGTTCTACATTACTCTCATATGTATTGATATACAGATCAATCAATTTTGTTATTACCATCAAATTTCATACGAATTCAGAACTCACGAAAATGCTACATCTATTGCGACAGTAGCTCAATCTGAACGCATTAAATCGTTAAACCCAATTAAGCCCCCAATTTAATACCTGGGTTCTCTGTCAAACCTGGAACGGTGTCGTCTGGAGTCGGAATCCCGACTGTCTCGTCGCGACATAGAGCCGGTACTGCCACCAGTCGAGAGAGAGGGGGGGAGGGGAGGGCACTCTGGGTCACTGGAACCGTGGGGCAGATTGGTAGCTAGGGTTTTTCCGTTTCTGTTTGTGGGGTATGTGTTGTGTATTGTTCGAGAGAGATGTGATTTTGACCGCACGATCAAAATGTTAAGCGGGTCAGGCAAGGATTTGATAACGATCATTCCTGCCACGCCGAACTCTTTTTCTTTCTTTTTAGGTTGGCACAAGAGACGGAGTCTGGGAGACTCGGATGTGTAAGGGCGCGTTTGGTATGTGGGATGGAACGGAATAGAGTGGAACAGAACGAAATGGGACGGAGGTGTTTCGTCTTATGTTTGATGCGCTAAATTATGTAGAACATGTTGTTCCACGAAACGAAACTGGGTTAAATTTTCGTTCCACCTTCCCCCTTAAAACAAATCGTTCCGTCCCGTGGAACACAAAAATTATAAAATTTTAAGATAAAAATACCCCTTAACTTTTTCAATATTTGATGCGAGAATTATACGCACACAAATTAAACCCTCTTTTTGTCAATTGTAGTGAAGAATGTAAGTAGGGATCGTTCTGGACCGGGGATTAGGAGGGATTGTTAATCACTTGGATTTGACTCAAAAACGTAAAAACAAGTTTAAAACACTATACTAGACTCAAAGAATGCAAAACTCAAAATAAGATAGATTAAGACTAAGACTAAACAAAATATGGGGGGGGATTGAGGTTTTGACGAAATTAAACTAAAATGGACAGATTGTAAAGAAAACAAATTGTAAATACGAATTTGACGGAAATGAATGGATGGGAAGCTAGCTAAGGGGTTCATCTCCACACATGTTACACTTGCACACAAAACGATTTCTAATTGCTTTTCAATAAACCATGAATTCTCAACGCCCCAGATTAACCGTGAATTGCACTAATTAACCCTCAGATTTTCCTAACGTTATTGAATTGGATGATTGCATACGACAACCCAAAACATTCCCCACAAGTCCCCTACATGATTGCATAATAGAGATACAAGCAAGAATCATTACGTTCTATGAAAACCATAAGCATTGACGAAGCACTTGTTACTATGATTGCATGAAACTTATGCCAAGAATTTACTTAACGCGATTGTTTATAAGCAACCTCCACTACTTGTGAATATAAGTTCATAACTATTAGGTGAAACTCACTTATATTCTAGCGTCATATTCATGCATGAAAATTAAGCGTGCACTCTCAATAAACATACATAAATAAGTTGTCAATCACATAGATAAGTAAATTGAATTCACAACTTATGAAACGTAATTAGAAGTAATCAAATCATATTGCAAGCATAAACATGTATTTCGAATCCCCCCCTAGCCAAGGGGGGGTTTAGTTCCTCATACGTACAAGACAAAGAGAATTGAAATTAAACATTGAAATCGAGGAAAAGCAACACCTAAAAATTCCAACAACTCAAACTTGAATTGTATGAACATTTAGGCACTCTTCTCCTCCTCTTCGTTGTGGCACAAGGTCTAAGGATAGGTTTGGATGGATGGGGAGTGGTTGGAATGGCTGCAATAGAGGAGATATGGTGCAGAAATAGAAGGGAAGAATGCTGGAATTGTAGTGAACCCACGGCATTGGCAGTTTTTGATGTGTTTTTGTGTTGGTTTGAGGTGTGTTATGGTAATGGGAATGCAAGGGTTTTTATAGGAGGAATGGAGGTGTATATGGCTGTTTGTTTAAGAATGCATGTGGCTGGTTAATGATGGAAAAACAGCTAGGAAAGTTGGTGGAAAGCTGGAATTTCATAGGGGGTGCACGGCAAAGAAGTGTTGTTGGTGCTGGAATTGCATGTGTGTGCATGTGAAAGCTGCCAAGATGGGGGAAAATATGGAAAATGGAAGTGTGATGCACGGCTAAGGGATTAATGGGATAGAAATGGGAGTGAATGTGGCTTAATGATGAATATGGAAAGCTGGAAAGCATGTGGCAAGGTGTGTAGGTGCTGGAATTGATGGAAAGGCACGGCCAAGGATTTGTGTTAGGTGCATGTGATGATTTCTGTGGTGGGTTATGCATGGCAAGGCTGGAATGTGGTGTAATGATGAAGGAATAATGTCTTGGTGGCTGGAATGATGAAGTGGGATGGTTGAAATGTGTTGATGTGCACGGCTAGCTTGTGATTATTGTTGTAATAATGTTATGGTGGCTGCTAGGGTGAATTAGGGTGAAATAAAATATGAATGAAAGTAAATAAATCATAATAGGGCTGCAAAGGTTAAAGGGTTAGGGTTTAAGTGCATAAAATGGACCCAAAATGCTCCCCCTTGCATGGCAAGGGAATGGAAATAGGGTTAAGCCCACGGCAAGGTAGTGCAATTGGGCTAAGGCCATTGTTTTGTGACTTAGAATAGGTAGGAGTCCTTGATATTGCTCAAACATAAGATCTTTAGGTCTTCAATTTCGTCCATTCCTTTTGCTCCAAGCATATGCTATCCATTCCAAGCCCAATTTTGCTCCAAAATGCTCCAAAATGCACCTTTTTGCTTCCTTAGCCATATGAACCTAGAAACACACGAAAATGGCATAAAGGACTAAAATAATTAAAGAAACACAACGTAAATGCATGAGAACAAGCCAATTAAGTCGCATAAATATGCTCCTATCAATATTTACACCATCTAAATCATACAACAAACCCTAACTATCATCCCTGCATCTCCCCTTCGCAACCTTCCTCCTCATCCTCTTATCCGTGAACTTCAGCTCTGCATCTTCGTTCCAGGTTCGATCTGATTGTGATTGTGTAGCCTCTCGGTCTCTCTTTCTTTGTATTTTGTAGTACTTTTTGTTTCTCTCTTGGTTTGGTGTTTGGTGTTTGTTGTTGCTTGAGTATCTACGTAGCTTTTAGTCCTCGTACCACTTTTTGGAGGCTCGCAGTCAGAAACCCTACCCACTTGGACTGATTGAAACTAAACCCCATAACATCCATGCGACAACTGTTGAAATTAAACCCCATACTCTTACAAATCCTCCAATCTTAACTTTAATTAATTTTGATGTAAATTTGAAGTGGCATTATTATTCTTTTCTGATTTGCTTGTTTCGATTTCATTAACTCCCAGTTCCTAATTTTGTAGTGCTTCAATTTATTTGTATTCTTTTCTGATTTGCTTGTTTTGATTTCTTTGTATTTTGAAGTGCTTCGATCTTCCCAATACTGCATCTGCAACCAAAGATCTGCCTCTGTTTATTTGCTTCCACTCCCCCTATTGAGCAGTACTGCATTAAGAGGTATCTCTCAATCTGGATGCATTTTTTCAGTGTTCAAGTTTCGATTTGTATGTGCTGAAATCTATAAATATGATGTCTTTGGGTTCTATTGGATTGGATTGGCTTACATGTTTTGGATTTTCCTCTGTTGGTTCATTGCTGCTCAAAATATAGTCATTTTATATCTAGTTTTCTGTACATTAAATGTTAAACAAAAAACACAGTGACTATTTTAATTGAACAAAGAATCGTAGTGCTCGATGTTGATTCCCCTCACCAATGTAAATGATTGTTGTGGATAATTACTTGGCTTAGAAGTTTTTGATTTCTAAGGGGAAAAAGCTAGGGTTTTATGGGGGGAGAGAGAAATAGGAGAGCAGGGGTGGAAGAGAAAAATGGTTGGGGTCTTTTGTACTAATTTTTTATTTTTATTTTTATTTATTTGAGGTTTTGTGATAAGGGAGGTTGTTCTACTGCAGCAACAGATAAATTTAAAATTGTTTCAAGGAGGAGTGAAATGACTCTAATTTTAGGAAGTTTGTGCTTTTGGTTTGTATGAGAAATAGAAAACACGAAGTGGGAGATGAAGATACAAAATAGTAAGTTTAATTGTAATTTAAAATTTTTTTATACTGTTAGTGGAGGAACCTATCTGTTGGGTGAAGTGGTAGGTCTAAAAATGGATATCATCCAGTGGAAGAACCCATAAGTGGTGTTTATTTTTACACAAGATGGGAAGATGTAAACAGTTGAAGGTTCATACCATTTTCCAAGTTCCTTATTAATGTGAATGTTTATGTTATTCTGATTAGGAACTTAAGTGAATAAATCGTGTTCGAATTTGTAAACAAATAATTGCTTACAAATTCATAAAACTTTCCACCATAGTGAACTCCGATTTGCATCATAAATGCATGAACATATTAAAGGGGTAAAAATGCAGGTACTATTTGTTAGCAATAAAGGGCAAGGTTAGCTCCAACTTGGAAAATTTCATGGATATATCCAATTCTTAATTTATCATGAGCAATTGTAGAATGCAAAGAAAGACGAGACTTTGAAGGAAATTGAAGAAAAGTTTCATTTCTTTCAAGATCAAACCTCTACGACCCTTGAAGGAAAATTTTCATTTCACTCAAGATCAAGCCTCTATGGCCCTTGATGAAAATTTTCATTTCTTTCAAGATTAAGCCTCTACGGCCCTTGAAGAAAAATTTTCATTTCATTCAAAAGCAAGCCTCAACGGCCCTTGACAAAATTCATCATTTCAATTCAAGAAATACGTCTCAACGACCCTTGAAGAAATGTTCATTCAAGAAATACGCCTCTACAGCCCTTGGAGAAGCAAACTAATTCAAGATCAAGCCTCGATGACCCTTGAGTTAAAGCGTTCATATTGCAGGACTTCAAAACACGTTTCCTACATGTGACAAGCGCATGCCTACAACGCGCCTTGAAGTGGGGGCATTTGTAGACATATAAATTTCATTGCAACAAATGATGCATCGCAAAGCTCCACGTGGCATATGACTCATCACAAATGGACAAGTCATTAATGACATGTGGCACAAATCAAGCAAAGGAAGTGTAAATCATTCCCAAAATTTGGCAAAAGGGAGAAAATAAATCGATAAGGAGCCCAAAATCTCTCAAAACCGGAAAAAAAGCCAAAGCATCTTCACAAAATAATCAACAATTGAAGATTGCTCACAAATAAGCAACAAGGCTTATAAATTTCGGCCAATATAAGGAAGGTGGTTGAAATTAAGACACAAAACATGCCTAAATTCTCCCATGGATGAATCAAGACACAAATCATGGCCAAATCCATCCAAAGGCATGTCTTTGGAAGTCTATAAATACAAGGACCCAAGACATACAAAGGGGTCAAAAATTACACATTGAGAAGAACCTCTACACAAATCTTTGAAGACTAATACACTACCAAAGCTCTCTTCGAAGAATGCACAACCAAAGCCGAAGCTTGCTGTCGACCAAAGCCAAAGCACTTCTTGAAGAATCAACAAGCACTTGTGCTGATTCCTTCAAGACTTTGTTGCAAGCTCAAAACTTGTAACAACGTTCGTTTCAAGATCAAGTCATCAAGACCCTTGAGTCAACGAAATCCTGCATCAACACCACCTTTGCCGCAAGTCACACAAGCCTTGAAGTGAAGACCATTCATGCATTGTTTCAAGCTTAAAACTTGAAGCAATCGTTCAACCTTTTATCCGAGATCAAGTCATCAAGACCCTTAGATCAACAACCTATGCATCTACATCAAATTTGAAGACTAAATCAGAAGACAATTGTAAACAGAGATTGTAACCTACAAATTCAAATCAATACAAATCTACTTTGTACACATGTTTTCGTTTCATTTGATACAGAATTTTCGTGTTTACAGCTGACTACCTTCCCAAAGACCTGCACCGTCCACTCACCTACCCTTCTCAGCCGTCTTCATTGTTCATCTCCTCAACCACCTATTCCTCTCCCCACCTCTGCTCTTGACTTCCTCTTTAACTCCTTCTCCAACATCACCAATGACACCGACCTCACTTTCATCAATGACACTTGACTCTACGTCATCATTCGCCTCACAAATAATACCAACCAGTTCGTCGTCAGTTATGTCTTCTACCCAACAAAAATTCCCATAAACCCACCTCCAACTCCACCTCCGTCGCCTCTTTCACCACCTCATTCGTTTTCTCCATCCTCTTGCAAATTGCATCCATCCCGAGATTCAGCCTCTGCATCATCCTCTCCAACTCCACATCGCCGTCCAATGCCCTCACCAGCTAATACTTCAAAAATAAGGGAAGTGTTACTGGCACTTCAAAAATCTCATTCTATACTCCTCATAAGTGTATTTTTATTTCCTAATATAGAAAGTTTGGAGTGTAGAATGAGATTTTTGGAGTGCTGACACACCCCGACCCGAAATGTCTACCTGGACACCCGAATCGCGATGTGTTGGCCAACACCTAGAAGGTGACGAAGCCATAAAGTGTAGTGATGTGGAAAATGTGAATAAATTAAAACCTAAAAGTAACTAATTTAGAGTGCGCACGTGAGTGGGTATTTTCTTTTAAATATTATGTACTTATTTATTTTCCATTTATACATTTAAAAAAAAACGAAAAGGACTTCCTACGTATGCCTTAATTAGACTAATATTTATAAGAATTAGCGAAATAACATAATTTACGAAATTATCCTAAATCCTACAAGATGCATAGGTATGCATAATATTAAGGGATGCCTTATTTATATTTACAGTTGTGAATAGTATTATGTCAGCGTAAGTTATGGGTTTACCGCTTTTTGATTTTATTTACGTTATCTTCTCATCGTTGCTACATCGGTGTTAGTAATCGCCCAGGCCAAGGCCATGCTTTCATGTGTATGTGCACATCGCACTATACCCTCGCTTTGAATCCATTGTAGGTGCCAATCCTGTCCTAGATTGTTATAGTCAATTAGGACTCGTATGTGTTGGGCATAAAGCCAGTCTTCACATGATTGTAGTACTAGAGCATATATTATTGTTACACCCAGTCATGTTCATGTCAGAATATCTCTGCATGGACTCGTGCGTCAGCATGTGTTGATGAGCATTCGATACGATATGTTTGCTTATGCAAGATTATGTGGTTATGGAAGTCATGTACTTACTTACGAAATATTATGCCGTATTAAATTCTTGAGATTTTGCAGGCTACGATAAGTATTTTCTTACTATACGTAGTATGTATATTTTGAAAACTGTACTTGTTTTACGACGATGAGTTATTACGCTTTCAAAAAGGTTTTTATAAAGCTTTGTTTTTAGGCCCACTCACCATTGCTTTTCGCCCCTCTAGGATTTTAGTGTCAGAGGTTTTGTGACGACGAGGATGGTTGGCAAAAGTTGTTATGTAGGAGACTTCTTCTTTCGGTATAAATGGCATTACTCTTCTTTTACTGCAATTTATCTATGCTCTGACATCACTTGTGTGATATGGGTTCAATCCCCGCTCACATGCGCACTCTAAATTAGTCACTTTTAGGTTTTAATTTATTCACATTTTCCATATCACTATATTTATGGCTTCATCACCTTACAGGTGTCAATCAGCACATCGCGATTCGAGTGTCCGGGTGGACATTTCGGGCACGTACTACCATCACGTGAAGACTGGCACTAATGCGCAGTCACATACAAGTCGGAGTTGCCTATTGCAACCTGTACGACAAAACTGGCACCTATTTGGATCCAGGGTGAGCGTATATATTACACTGAGTCTTGTTCATATCAAAATTTCCACTGAATGAACTTGTGTACAAGCATATTATTGTTGGAGAATTTGATGAGCAATAGATTATAGTGTTGAGCAATAGTTTAATTATTGTTGAGAATATATATTATATTGTTGAGAATATATTTTATATTGTTGAGCATTAGATTATATTGTTGGGCATGTGATATTAGTATTGTGATATGGCACTATGTGATTAATGATTTGATATTACTATTGTATTTTCTATATTGACTAAAATGGCATTGATTGATTGGCATATTACATATTCTATTCACCAAGCGACGGTAATTGTTACTCACCCCTCACCCTTTTATTTTACAAATAAGTTATTTGACAAGACAGGTACTAGACGAGCTAAGTTTGTGTTTGACAAGGGATTTAAGAGTTTTCTTATTTTTGTACTCTTTGTAAGGATTTTGTAATAGTTACTTGTATAAGAGAAATTATTGTTTTACGTTTTTAGTTTTAGTTTTACTTTTACACGTGCGCCAGGCGTGGGGTCCCATTGACCCTGGGTCAAGGGCGTGACAAGTGCTAATAACAATTCCCTTTGATAAATATGGAGAAGATTTTAAGGATTCTATTCTAACATCGTCTCAAGTCTTTCCAATGTCTCTAATCTCTAATAAGAATGTTGTTGTAATAATAAAAAATAAAAAAGTTCGCATTGCTAAGATCTTGTAAGCAACCTTTCAACAAACCAAAATAAGAGGACCCAAGGATGATGATTGCTAGCAACTTGCAACAACAAATGAATTATGAGTGCAAAGTCTGATTCCACCAGTAATTTATTAATCCATAATCTCCATGCCAATTGTAAATCCAAATAAAGTTCTCATAGCTCAGCAGTGAGAATCTCGCATGCGCCCAAATTTGGTGCAAAATCCCAAAATTCATTTACCATCAAAATCTGTTAAAACACCACTTACAAGAAATTATTATTTCCGCTCTTGCAACCATCAACATTAAGTTTAAAAAAAATACAAAGAAGCTTACAAATGGGGCAAATATTCGATTATATGGGGCTTATCAATCTTGTGAGTATTAAACTTCAGCCATTCATAAAAATTTTGTAGCCGATAGTTTAACGACCTACAGTCTTAATTTAGATTTAGACAACTTTTTACTTTGATAATTCTCTTTTAGGTTCAGTTAGTTTTGTTCGTGAGGATCAACGTGAGATGTCCTAGTCTAAATTTATTATTGAATAATTTTGTTTGGGCTATTAGCATTTAGCCCGGTTTTTCAACCAAAACAAAAACTAACAAAAAAAACAAAAAACAAAAAAAAGTTGATTGTGAGACGGGAGAACGAGTCAAGTCAAGCACACAAAGACCCACACTCTCACGGCCTTAGGGCCTTCACGCAGCAGGTAGGGTGTGCCAATGAAGGGATGAGTCAAGCACTAAGACATGTTATATCTAAAATAGTAGTGTTATTCACACACCTCTTTTACATCCCACACATATTTGTTATTTTTATCCATTGATCTTCTTCAATTCATTCGATTCGACAATCGAAAATTGAGATGTGTTTATAAAAAGCACCGTCCTATCTCAAATAGTTTGGTATTGAGATATGTGTATAACTACCCGTTGCGGGTAGGATGCGCCGACGAGGAGACGAGTCAAGCGATAAAATAAACAATGATACAATTGTCTCCACTCTCTAGTCGATCAAAAGAAAAAAGCTTTATATTTTGATATGGTGGTCTTTCTGTAAGGTCCATTGGTGTCTCCGTCAAGAAAAATGAGCAAGTCCTCCTCCAAGCCTAAGCATAAAAGCAAGACCAAGAGCAAAAGCACAACCAGCAGCAAGGGCCCTCCACTTTTCTCCGACTTTGGTCACAAAGCTAAAGGTTTTCTCTCTGATTCTTCTCCAGATTTGTGTGTTTTTCGTTTCTTGCATCGCAAAAAGCCTGTTCGAGGATTCTCCGACGACTTACCTCTTTTGGGTTCCGGCAGACTTGCTTACAGCGGGATATTCCAAGGGCCAGAGGTTCACCTTCGCATCCCACATTGATGGCGGAGTGGTATGTTCTTATATTGGCACCCTCTCTAAATCGTTAGACAGAAAGTTGAGAGTATTTTCGGGTTTGTTTTCAGAACCTTACATGTTCAACCTCCGCGAAGATTGGAGGACGATCAACTGCAGCTGTTGCAGGATCGTACACATACAAGAATGCCACCTTCAACTGCCGAATTGATACGGATTCAAAAGTGGGTTTGGTTCTTTTATGTAGCTTTACTGTTCCCAATTAAATTTGAGCTCTTCTGTTTTCGGTTCGGATCAAGCGTTTCTTTATATCCCCTTGTTATGACAGGTTGCTGGAACATTAAGTACGAAGTTTTTGTCAAGCACAAAGACTTCAGCTTCATTCAGCTTGCCGGAGTACAAGTCTAGCAAGGTACTGGTCCCTTTGTCTGAGCAATCTTTTTGTTTGGAAATACTCCTTGAATTGGTGTACTTGTTACGAAATCTGCCATAGAAAAAATAACAACAAAATAAAAGAAATTTCTGTTGCCGAAATTGCTCACCCTTTTGATGCTGCATGATGATCACATCTAATTCAAACTATAAATCAACTCACTCGTCTTGGTTTCACAGCTCGGGTTTCAAACACGCCAAGAATATGGTGCCGCAGCTGTGTCTGTTTCTCTGTGCCAGTCTCCCACAATCAACCTTTCAGCAACCGTCGGTAGTGCAAGCATTGTCATCGGTATGGAGGCAGAATACAAGACTGCTTCCAGCACTTTCTCCAAATGTAATGCAGGCATTAGCATGAAGAGTCTCAATTCTGATGCTTCAATAATTCTGTAAGTCTTTTCATTTCAATCTACAAGACCTAGAACTCTGAGGGCCGATAAAGCGTATGGTTAGAACTAAATCTTTCAACAAACGTAACAACAAAATTTTGTGGAGGCCAAAATGCAGATTTGAGTTTCTAATATGCTATCTTTGTGATATGTTTAGGGGAAACAAGGGTGGCTTGATAACAGCATCGTACGTTCATTATCGTGGTCAAGAAAAGAAGAATGCAGCAGTGGTAGAGTTCACTCAGAACCTCTCAACAAAGAACACCACCTTGACAGTTGGAGGATCGTGCATGGTTGATCATCAGACAGTGGTGAAAGCTAGACTCGACGGTCGCGGAGATTTTAAGACTGTCCTGCAGTACAGTATTAGACCAAAGTCGTGCTTGTCTATCTCAGGCGAGTTCAACACCAAGGCACTTGACAAGATTCCTAAAATTGGACTGGCACTTTCTCTTGCTCCTTAAACGATTTCGCAATATTTATATGCAACTGATGCAATTCTTAGATAGATGTTTCTACTGATGTAAGTTTTCCTAGATCCGTATGATTCTATCAGTTTAGAAAGCCGCCGGTTCAACAGGTCAAGTGCTAGTGTTTGAAAGCAATCTGCATCTGAAATTCGAAATCATTTCAGCGACAACTGAAGGATTTTACTTATATGATCTAGTTGCACACTAGCTGGGAATTCCCAAAAACTAAATCTTGACACACTTACAAATCAACTCCAAACTAGTATTGCATCTCCCACTGAGTTTATCTAATGGCTTGGAACTTCTTGTTCCCGTCTACTCAGTAGTTTATGGAGCAGCATCCACTTTTTGTTTTTCGCCCTATCCAGTTTAACCGGCGCCATAGAAGTTCTCCGTCGCTTGAGAGCAGACTCGAATGCAGAGAGATGTTCCGCAAGAACATGAAAATCTTCCGCTTTAGATCCGCGCACCAGCTCAATAAAATCGATGTGTACGGAGAACATTTGTATTTCAGTATTACAGCCATCATATTCAGCAGTCTGCAAATGTATCAGTAACAAGAGATTCACTTTCGAGATTTGAACCTGGTGCACCATTTGATCAGTAGCGCTTCAACACTGGCATCCATTCGTGTCCCGATTCCTCCCCAGACCAGCATATGGGCCAAGTCTCCAAATGTCGAACCAGTTACTTCATGTACAGCCTTGAATCCGATTCTTGAATAGAACCGCACAAGCTGAACAAAAAAATTACTTCGATGTAAAACAGAAACGGCTCTTTTTTTTTTATTAAATTTGTAACCAGCTCTATTAGCGCATGTTTCGGAAACTAAAAAGACACGTTATAAGAAAGTCAAAGAAAGAACCTTGTGGTGGTAAATATCGGAGTCATTGATAGCCAGCAGCTCAGCCGTTCCGCAACCGCAATCGTATCCATACCGAACGGCAACAGCTCCAAGAAACAAACCGATCCCAAATATCGACTTCTCCATCCCCAGAGTCTCTCTCTTGAGTCTGATGGAGTCCAAGTGAAGGATCCTCCCTTTCAGCCAGACCCTTATGAGCCCCTCGGCCTTTCCGAGCTCTTTCTTCGTCCCCAAGCTTCGGGCTGTGATTCTGAAAAAGGGTCCCACAGTTTGCAGCTGCAGGTCCAGGTTCTGGGATTTTGACGAGTCCAGTATCTCAGCCATGGTTGGCATTGTGGGTCCGGTGCTGGCCTCTCTACTTTTCATGGTAAGGGTAGAGGGGGTGAGTAATGAAGAAACAATTCGGGTTCTGGTTCTGGTTCCGGTACGGATTAAAAAGCTTATGGTGCGGCGAAAATGAACAGTTGGATTTGGCATGGAGAGGTTGGAACTTGAAATCATTGATATGGATGATAGTTCCATATTTTTCTGATTTAATTTTTGGGATTAGGGTTTTGGGGTTTTCTTTTACAGAAATGTTTGTGAAGTGATTCAGAAGTATGAAGAATTGGATTCTTTCAGTTTCATATCCCAAAACTTGGAGACACTGGCTACTGGGCCTGTGCTGATGGAGTCTGGTTTTACAGATCCTTTCTCTCATCCTTGGTGCTTAGATAAGCTACACGTGGCTACACCACCACCATCATGTGTCCTATCTTGAGCAAGTGCTTATAATTTTTTTTTTAATTTTTTTTTAATTTTTTAATTTTTTGTAGTTATATTCATTTGAAGGGGAAGGGGAGGGAAAATTCATATACTGTAGAAACTCAACATTCTATTTACTGGAATATTAGACCATATGCGGTAAAAATCTTTATAATCTTATTTCGAGGAGAGAGTTTAATGAAGGTTCTTTCATGTGGCTCTAGGGGGATGCAAAACACCTTAAAATTGGCGTTTACATTTCTTGTTTGCTAAAAAACTCTTTAATAGAAGATTATAAAAAATATTCATCTTCGTCGAAAAATGTAACTACACATATTTAGGAGGTGAGTCGCGTGATTTATGGGTAGGGATGGGTAAAATACCCACGGTTATGGTAATCGCGATTACCCGCCCATTTAAACTTCAAGGGTACGGTTATAGGTAACCGTTTAGATAAATAAACGGTTATACCCATAACCGTTTACTTGTGAAATTTAAATGGATGGTTATGAGTATTAACCGAGGTTATAAACGGAAAACCGTTTACCCATTTATTTTATATATGTAAAATTAACACAAACCATATACTCAATCGAACAAAACTTAGATCAATGCTATTGACTAAAGTGCATGGTTTATATAGCGGTGTTTTAATTAATTAAAAAGTAACAAACGATAATCCGTGGAGTATTTCTATCCTTAAATTGAATAAATCAAAAGAAATTTAAGTGGGAAAACTAGACAGGAGCGCACTGAAATCATTTCCCTTGCAGTATTAGTTAAGATGTTAGTCAAATTACCAGTGGAATTGCAGGGTAGAGCCTCTGTGTCTCAGTCAAAACTGCTAAGAGATACTGCATTTTATTAAGGGCATCTTCATTAAGACTGTCTGCAAGCTCAACAATGCTTGAACCATCTTTCAGATTTGCTGCTTCTCGAACTTCCGTTGCAACCTTTTCTTGCATATGAGGGTGCTTGCAGAGCATATAAATAACCCACGTAAGAGTGCCTGCCATTGTGTGTTTGCCGGCAATTATTTCAATTATTGGAATGGTATAAGAATTTAAAAAATTAAAATACGGAAATGTATGATAAATGTACCTATAACGGTGTTTAATTGTCAAAGAAAAAGAAAATTATGACAATTTTTTTTTAATTGTCAAGTTATTAAAAAACATGTAGACGGATGAAAATGGGTAATGGTTAAAAAAAGAGATAGACGGGTTAAAAAGGGTAAATGGGTAAACGGGTATTAAACGGTTACAGTTAAATAGGTATGCGGTTATGGGTGTGATTAACCGTTTATAAATGGTTATGGGTATGGGTATAACAGTTTAGGCAACTATCCAACGGGTAAACGGTTATGCGGGTATGAGTATAAACGGTTATGGGTAAATAATTACGGTTACCCGCCCGCCATAACCGTTGCTCATCCCTATTTATGGAGGGAAACTTAAATGAAATCCTAAACTCACATCATTATCGGAGTAAGAATCCTCATTCACATCTCTTGAAAATGCAAATATATATTTACACTAAAAGTTGGGGGAAGAATTGATACAAACTTCTATTCATGAGATTTGAACGGAATTTTTTTTTTTTTTTTAACAAATAATATTATTTACATTAAGAAGAGTAGACTAAACCTCACTTATATTAGCAATAATGTTGTTCAGATTTGCGATGGACTACACTAAGGAAGTGTGAGAGTTGGCTAAGCTCACAATGAGAATGGAAGTAACGTGCAAAGTTCTGTAGGAAGCTTGTGGATTTACAAATAAGGAACACAAGGAACTTTTCTTGACGGATCCATTTAGCACCCAAATCTTTACAAATTGCACATTCTGTGATTGTATTCACATAAATAGTCTGGTGGGTACCGGGTTCGAAACTTTCTCATCTCCTAAATTATCGTAATAGTTTCGAACCCTTTCCCCTCTTCTTAATTAATCCACATAATAGTCTGATATTTACCAAATAAATGAAATACAGGGACATGTACAGATATACAGACAATAACAAATAAAGTATAATCCTAGAAGTTCTGGTTGCTCCTAACGAAAAACGAATCGATAGGTATATGTTTGCCTTCTTTCTGGGACAGCTTCGGCCTTTTGTTTTTCCTTTGGCTTGTACGATGATCCTTCTCGACATTTCTGACAAGGTTTCCAGCCAAAAATATCAGGTAAAACTAACTTATCAAGATAAGAAAAAACGGATTACGGAGAGAGGCAAGTTGGAAACTCAATGTATAAGGTCGTTGTCGATAAAATAAAAAAAAATTACTTTGATGGCAAGCATAGACAAGATCTATGGACGAAATAAACTTTTTACTAGATTAAACATGCAAACCATGTTCTCTTGTAACCAGGCGAGTGCTGTTTATCAGTAACAATGTCAACTGCTTAACATCATACTTCAACTAAAAATTGTAAAAAATTAGAGAAGATTCGTAGCTGATAGGCATGAGCAATAGCAGCAAATGAAAGTGTAACATACCTCTGCTTCAGCACACATGTTGAGTCAGCGCCAGATTCTTCTTTCTGAAGCTTCTCAGCAAGATGAAAATCAAAGTGCTCTTGCCTTTCCTCAACGAAGCTAGCTGGCATTTCTATCCCACATATCGAACACTTGTAGTCATTCAACCACAAAAGTAACTCTTTCTGACTGACTGAACAACTTGCAACGTCCTCACGGTTGTTAGTTACATTATTAACTCTGTCTAGGGTACTGCCCTCAAACTGCCCAGAAAAAGAATGACCTGCTGCCAACAATGGTGACACTCCACCCTGAACGTTGTCCTCATTCTGTACGTCCACACACACCGTTTCTGCATTTACACTGCTCGTAGATTCATAAACTTCTTCCTTTTCATCAAAATTTTCCAAAGTAAACTTACTGTTGTCCAAATTTACTAAGTGGTTTCCATCAAGAGAATCTCGAGAAGTTTGATGGCCATATTCAAATAAAGAGGGTTCTTCACCATGCATCATGCAGCGACCATCAGTATCCATTTCCAAGGAGCTCTGATTCCCCACATTTTTCCTTAAAACATTTCCTGATAAAATATAATCGGTGAGAGTTCTTTGTGTGGGATCAGATGGAGCACCAACCTTTTCTTCATCAAAGTGAGACACCCGCAAGCCTGACAACAGATGAAAATAGATTTAACCCTAAGCCACCTGAGCTGCAAGATTGAGCTTTAATATAATTCCCCTTCTGATATATATATTTATATGCATATACATATACATCTGGCAATGCTGTCGTACATGAAATCCAGTATCATGTCTATTAATAGAATATCACTATATTCATAATATATTGGTAACATGTTTTACAAATTGTATTAAGACTATTGATCAGGTAAATTCATGTTTAAATGTAATGATGGACAATCCGACATCAAGTTGTCTGATTACTGATCATCTTTATGTCTGTCATTATAGTATGGACCTTTGAGATGCACCGTGGATGAGGAAAGATGCATCATTACTATTTGTACTTGCATGCTTGATATAATGTACATCTCAAACTATCAATCATATTTACATCTCAATTTGACATCAAGTATACTATTTAATATTTATATTTGTGTGCTTGTATATAATGTGCTCCTACCTATCAGCCTCAAAGAAATCGGAAGTTCAGTCTTAAGCAATTTTGAAGCATGCTTCAAAATATCCTCAGTCGAGCATATATATTTTTGCGAAGTCACAGCTCTGGTGCGAACCTGTAGATTGTAGAACAAACTTAAAACTTTACAGCAAGAGAAATACTGATCACAGCTAAAAACGAAAAAAGAATCGATGGGAGAATTAAGAGTCATATACAAGGGGAGTCATGCATCACAAATAGCCCTACTGATGGTAATGCATGAACGATCTTACTTTGACAAGGCAAAAGAATTGGTGATAAAGCATCAGAAGAAATACCTCAAACGATGCTGTCTTTAGTTTTAGAGTCAATGTTCGCCCACAAAGACCCTCCTTTTGCAAATCAGTAGATAGCATCTCTGCAATATCCGCTGCAAGCATTAAATATACCCAAGTTAGTAAATCTAAATGGTGATGAGTCATGACTTTCAGTTAATTCTTGATTAATAGAACTACATACCCAATTTGCGATAAATATATGCTTCATCCCCTGTGGCTGAAAATGATCTCTCATTACTTATACTTTTTCTCAATCTTGCTTCAGGAGTATCTGTTCCCCCGATGGCAAGTCCCACTGAGAGGAAAAAATCTGCAATACATGATAGGAGAAGCAGATGTTGAACAGAAACAGGTGGTGTCTCCAATCATATGATATACAAGAGAATGGACAGAGTGCTAACCTGCTGCAGATTGAGAAAATAGCGCACAAATTAAACTGCTCTTTTGCAGAATCTCCTCACATGTACTAATCCCAAGAGCATCCTTCAATATATGCTCAGTTACTTTACCGATGCCCCCAATCTGTATAAGAGTTTTCAATTCCATATCTTCATTAGTATGTGAACTGTAATTAATGAGCACATAAAAGTTTGCTATTATGTGAACCACAGTTGTACCAACAAAGACAATAATGGTACAGTTTATTCTGCAACAAATGTACAAAAGGTGGATATACCTTTCGGACAGGAAGAGAGGATATAAATGTCATGACAGCCACCCGATTATTTGGTAAAACAAACTGTCCATTTGGCTTATTTATATCTGAGCAAACCTGAGGAATAAGATCAGGAGACTCAATTCAATCGTGTGCATACACAGGCCTAAGCATGTGAGATGTTCTGAAGAAATCATCTAAATCCAGTATTGGTCATAATATCTAAACTCTAAAGCCTAAAACATAAAACCTATACATATAAAGCTAAAAAAAGGCTTGAGAAAAAGAGAAGTTAGAAAAGCAAATGTCAAGATGTGATATTATATATCAAGGCAACTAAAAGTTAGATGTGCTTACTTGTTTGCCAGTTGCCAGTAGCATGCATCTATTTGCAAACCTTAGTTACCATTAGCTAACTAAAAAAGCAGAAAGTTCATCTTTTTATCAAGCTTACATGTATACAGTGAATTGTTTATTTTGACATCTTATCATCAACTAGACAACATGTGAAACATCCATATTTATTTTACAACGAAATTGAATCAAAGCACAATACCATATTGCAAACACTTGAATTCGTATTGATGTAACATATTTCATTCGATGAGTTGTTGGAAAAACCTTAGCAAGTAGACGGTTTGGTGCCACTCCAGCACTGCATGTAAGACCAGTCACTTCATAAACACCAGCTCTGAGTTCTTTGGCAATCTTTATGGAGAAAAAGTTACAGAAAATGAAGTTGAACATAAAAACTTTAAAAGCGAAAGGGTAATGTCAATTCCAAACAAAGAATAAAAAATGTGATATGCATATGTTAACGCAGCTAATAATCATGTACACTTACTTCTTCACCAGTAGTGCCCCTTTCTTTGCAAACCTCAGTTACATCAAGATATGCTTCGTCCAGACTAGCAGCGAGGAAGTTAGGATCATACTTCTGATATACTAACAAAAAAAAATAATTCATGGCCTAAAGTTAGGACCTGGCATAAAAAACCTACAATAAGAATCTACCTAAAGAAACAACAGCCAACCTTTTCTAGTTAAACTACTGTAATGATTATACTTCTCGAAATCCGTAGGCACAAAAATTAAGTCGGGACATAATTTACGAGCAATGAAACCAGGCATCGCAGCACGAACCCCAAACTTCCTTGCCTGCAGGGTGGTAGTGATCACATTATCAATATGCATTCACAAGGTAAATGCAGGACAAATAAATTTGTAATATGCAATTCCACTGCAACCGAAATTGCGACACTTGTAATGTGGAGTTACTTTCACCTCATAATTAGCAGTGGAGATCATAGACATGCCACCAACAGCCATGGGCTTCCCCTTCAACGACGTGTCGCTCAAAGTCTCGACAGCTGCATAGAAAGCATCCATATCCACATGTACCCAAATCCTCGAAAGGTCCCGCGTCGCTTCAAGCTCCAAAATTCTTTTATCAGCAATCTAGAAACCACCATTCCAATAAATCTCACAGAAATCCCAAAAAAAAAAGTTATCACACAATTGAATTGGAAACACTAAAACACACCGTTTGGAAGCGATCCAGGTCTGCTGGTTTGAGCTTCGCGCACCGAGCTCGCATGTTCTCTATCTTCTCCCTGATGAAGGCCTCTTTGCGTTCCTCGTTTTTGAAGTACTGCGATCCTTTGCTCATTTCGTACACTATCCTCTGAACTCTTTCCTTGTCGACGCCTTCCATGCCTGAAATTTTGAAAATTTAGCAGTAAAATGGAAAAATAGTCAGTCAATTGACACTCGGAAATGTAAATTCGATTCGAATTCATGGTTTGAATTTAAGAGCCTATAATTTTTTTGGAATTTTGAATTGGGATTTGGGTGAGAAACGTACCGGCTTTGGCGTTCGTGTAAACGGTGTTGTAGGACTGCCAGGGCCGGGCACCATCGGCGGAGGTTTCGCTGTTCGCCATGGCCAACAATTTTTTGGCTCCAAAAGCTTGCGTTGGAAGAAGAAGAAGGGGAGGGAAGGTAAGGGAGTAGAAAAGGGCCGATGTGCCTTGGGCCCATATATGTTTATTTAAAAATAAAAAGAACAAGGCCCAAGAAAAAGGCTGCCCAAACTGTTATTAGACTAAGGACTCTAAGCCCAGGTTTGTGTTATTGTTAAATTCATGAACCTTTTATAATCTTTTAGTACTCTTAAAATTTAGATCGCTTAGTACTACAACTTAGTGGTATTTTTCTTTACTTGTAAATGAAAATTAGATATTAATTTTATAAATGGTGAATTCGATACTAATTTATTACTCACCCTTTAGTATAAATGTATCTTTTTATAAAATAAAATAAAAGGAATTGTTATTGGCACTCCAAAAATCTCATTTTACACTCGAAACTTTCTATAATTAGAAAGAAAAATATACTTATGAGGAGTGCAGAATGAGATTTTTGAAGTGCTAATAACAATTTCCAAAATAAAATTAGATCGATGGGGTCATATGTTACATGTGAATGCAATCTTATTCTAGATTGTTGCTTATTTTTAGATCAATGGGGAGAGAAGTGGTTCAAACTTGTGACATCTCTAACATTGAAAATTACTGTTTGATTGAAATGTGGTGTGTGAAATATATTGTTGTGATCTTAAGTGACACTGAATGCCACATTTCTTGGGTAATTTATGAGTTTTGGCCGTGTGAAGATGAAATATTGTTTCAGGCATTCGATTGGGTATCAAAAGGATGTGAGTGGACAACCCTTTCTCTTATTGGAGAGATTTTTTAATGTGTCCAAAACACATGACAGTATATCATGTGTCATTATACAAATTATGGGATATGTGTGATAAAAATTAATAACTTAAAAATTTAAACTTCCCACCACTTAACTTAAAAATTTAAACTTCCCACCACTTATATAATAACACGTGATGTAGCACTCGTGTTCCAATAACAATAAAAAATTTCTCCTCTTATTGGCATTATGTATGTCTCAAATATAGAGCAAACTTATCGTTGGCTAGATTCTCTTGTGGCACTAGCATTACACGGTATAATTGCTCTATGTTCTTTTCAAGATTTGCTTATAATGAGTTGATGTCTTGTTGATATGTTGCTCATATTCTTGAATCTAGTTTAGAATTTAAGGTTTATTAACATAAAAATCTATAAGGTTTAAACGTTCTTTCTTAAAGCGTTATTATTTTACAATTTCTGTAGTTACCATGAAATATTAATGAAAACATCATAAAAAAAAAAAGATTTCATCAAAGCTTAGGAGTTGTCGTTATGAACAAAATGTTCTGTCATTTACTTGAGTTACACTTCAATAATCATGATGTTCATAATTGTGACATTGTTGGCTGTCGTTGATTTTTCATGATGGCTCAAAAGTGAATGGAATGATGAGTCAGGGGAGTATTGGAATGACACATGTAAGTAAGTTGAACGAATCACTTCCCATCAAAATGTCAATTAGGTCATGCAATATGCATGCTCAAGTTTTCCACCCTTGAAATATATGTGTATAGTGTGTCACCACTCACTACACCAAATTATCAAGTGCAACTTGCAATCTCACTCGCACACACCACAAAAATCCAACTACGTTTTATATTAATAATACAATGATGTTTGAAAATTTTATTTGCATATCATATTAAAACTATTAACATAAAATGTTAAAATCAGCGTATATCTACACTATCATCATATAATCAAAATCAAAGTAAATTAGTGGAAGCACGTGATTACTTCAACTATGTGTCTATCAAGGTAGATAGTGCTTTACTGAAGACATACAAAGGAACCTTTTTTGATCAGCCAATTGGCTCGTATCAAGTGTAACCGACTAAGCCCACATCAACAATCATAAGTCATATCATCCTTTTACTGGTGACCTACTAAAAGGCTTCTTTTCGATTAAAAGCTTCATTAGTGGATTTTTTCTAAATGCCATTTCAAGATTACATTAGTTAAAACTTCGTTTCATTGTCACAAATAATTTAGGGTATATCTTAGTTTACTATTCTTAAATTTTGTGGTTTTTAACATTTAGTACATGAAGTTTTTTTCGTCCCAGAGTCATACCTAAAATCTTAATTTTGGAACAGTCTCATACATCCGTTAGTCTGGATTTTAAGTCTCCCGTTAACTGATGACGTAGAGTCCATGTGGACGTTAGACTGGGTGCCACATGTCATTAAAAAAAATGAACCCTTCGTCATCATCCAGCCCCCCTCCACCCAAGCCTTCGCCGCCATGAGACATCCTGATCCGCTCCGTGTGGTCCGATAACCTCGAGTTCGAGACGATTACCCTTTGATTTCCATGGACACCGAATTCTCAGGCATCGTGGTCCGACTCGACTCCAACGATCCCAATTTCTACCACCGCGAGCCCACTGCGCATTACCTCATGCTCAAGGCCAACGTCGATGGCCTCAATCTGATCCAGGTCAGCCTCACCCCCTAGGACGACAGCAAAAATCTGCTGGATTTGGGGACCAAGAATCTGTACATATGGGAATTCAATTTTTGGGACTTCGACATGGCGCAGGACGCCCATGCGCACGACTCGGTCGAGTTACTTCGCCACCAAAGGATCGATTTCGAACAGAACGGGATTTCTAGTTGGACTCGGTCCGGTTCGTGGAGCTGATGATGTCGTCGGGGCTCATCTGCAACAACGCCGTGGAGGGGATGAAGGGTTCTGACTTCTGAGTGTTCTGGGTTCTGTTTCTATTGTTTTTTTTTCAAATTAAATTTTTTTAATGACATGTGGCGCCCAGTCATCGTCTACATGGGTGCCACGTGATCAGTTAACGGGATAGTTAACAGTCAGACTAACGGATGTACGAGACTGTCACAAAATTAACACTTTAGGTATGACTCTGAGTTCAATAATTTGGATGAATACTCGAACTCATACAAACCATGAAACCAACAATTTCAAGCCATCATGAACTACATTAATTAACAAAGCGGTAGTCCATTTTAATAATTTGGACAAATACTCAAAGTCATACAAACCATGAAACCAACAATTTCAAGCCATCATGAACCGCATTAATTAACAAAGCGGTAGTCCATTTCAATAATTTGGACGAATCCTCAAAGTCTTACAACACCATGAAACCAACAATTTCAAGCCATCATGAACTACATTAATTAACAAAGCGATAGTCCATTTCCAGGGCCGGTCTTGAGATTTTTGAGGCCCGGGGCAATACCAAAATAAGTGCCCTAGTATAACTCCACGTCAAAAAAAGAAAAATCAATTGTTTTAGTGTTCATATTTGTGCATGCCGATGTAACTTTTCTTTGATAAAACGATAGTAGGATGTGAGGGATTATGCTAAGCAACAAGATGGGTTGCCCATAATTTGGTATCTAACTTGTCATTTAAAAGACTCAAGTCTAAGATCTCTCACTTATGAGTGAAGAAAAAATAGATTTCACATCTAAGCCATAATATTAGTTTGTATTTAGATAAGGGTACACAAATATTTCACAAGCAAAAATCAACTAAGGTATGAAAGGTATTTTTGTATAAAACTTATAGTTATTGGATAATTTTCTAATTTATTGTCCCTTGGGGCTTCATAAGAATTGTCATATTTTTCTCTCTCTAATTTTTATATATAATGTTATAAACAATGAATGAACCAAAAAAAAAATCATTGAAAAACCAAATACCACCTATATGTTATTAAAAATATAACTCATTTTTCTTGGATAAGAAAGAAAAGTAACCCTAACATTGTATTGAAACAGAACATCATTGCTAAAGAAAAAGGAAAATTAACGAAAAGAGCTTGAAAACTTTGAGTTTTAACGAAATGGTAAAGTAAATAGTACAAATATTGACTTTTTAGTATAAAAATGTGGTTTTTCATTAAAATGAATAGTACTGAGAGCTTTTAGTTAAAGTTCTCAAAAGAAAAAGGTCCTCATTTTGAACTTGGGTGACTACTATTATTATTATTATTTGCCAAAGGGTGGTAATTAATTGAAAATGAATTTGTAAAAACCACTTTCGTCAAAGGCACATATAGAAATATAGCTACTTATTTAAACCAAAGATGAAATAAATGCAAAAAAAAAAAAAAAAAAGCATATTTGAGTTTCGAACCCGTGTTCCTTTCCATTACAGGAAAGCAGCGAAACACCACTGCAAATGACATCTGACAAATATCCAGTTTTATATTTTTATACGCTTGCTGAACATAACATTATAATGATAGAAATTAAATTTTTTGGTGCCCTCGATTTTTTGAGGCCCTGTGCGGTCGCCCTTGCTGCCCTAGACTAGGGCCGAGCCTGTCCATTTCAATAATTTGGATGAATACTCAAAGTCATTCAAATATTAAAAAAAAAAATTATTGACATCAATCATGAATTATGAACTGCATGATAGAAATATTCAAATATAAGCAGTGGTCAATTTCCACTTCAATCATGAACTGCATTATAAAAATATGTCCAAAAGGTTATTGAGAAAAATGTTTCTTTTGATATATTATTGACATTCTACAAAGTCATTGTGAGAGTCAAATTAACTTTCTATATTTACATTCATGTTTTTTTTTTTTTTGGTAAAAAGGTAATAACATTACCAACAACACACATTTACAAGAAAGATGCCCACATACAATATAAACACAACAAAAAAAATTATGGACCTCCAAAGTACAACGAAACCAAGCCCAACAGAAAAACAGAAAAAACCCTAACAACATGCATCATTTGCCACTGCTGCCATCAGAAGGACCACCAAACTCAAACTAGTGGCCTGAAATCAAGCCAAACCAAGCCCCCAAAGTAGATAAGAAGAACACTTCAACAACATCCAAAGAGTACAACGAAGATAGGCACCACGAATCGAATGAAACTCACAGGAAACAACCCACGAGCAACAGGGGCAACAAGGCCAAATAGAGGTAAGAAGGTGGTGAGAACACTCAAGCATCGATGAAATCCGAAGCTCTACACATCTTCCTCCTAAACAGGAATCACGAAGATT